CGCTCAATCCACTGAGCTACGCCAGCCAGGGCTGGGAATCATTTTTTATTTTTGCTTAGGAAATCTTACCTCCATCATTCTAGTTTTGGCTTCTCTCAAAGGTACACAGTGTAAAGTTAAAAAAAGTTGGAGAATCAGTGTTTTATAGCTAGACACCTTGGGTTTGGATCCCGGATCTATCACTTACAAGCTGCTTTCACTCTTTGGGCAAATGACTCCCTGGTGCCTCAGTTCCCTCGTTTGTATTATGGGGATAGTAATAGTATAGATCTCCAGATGTTGTGAAGAGGATTAAAGGTGTTAATACATATAAAGGACTTAGAATTATAACTGGCACGTAGTAAGAACTCAATAAATGTTGGTTATTCAGGAATCTTTGGACATGAGAGAGAGAGAAGCTAATGGTGGGGAAACGTGCCAGGTTCACCCTTCTGTCCTCTGTGGTGTGTGTTCTGGGGCCAGGGGTCCGCAAACCACTGTTTCCCTGCCAGCTGACTTTCTGTGGCACTCTGCCCCTAGAGTGGGAGGAAGGGGGGGGGGGGTTACTCAATGGTGCTTGGTGGCTATTCCTCTCAGTGGCCCTTCACCCTGACGGTGACAGTTGGAATGAGTGTCTGGCATTTTCCCCAGAGCAACTCCATTTGGCCCCCTTAGAAGCACCAGCAGTAACCAGGCGGGGCTTTCTCCTCAGAGGTCTGATTCCTAGTCCCTGGGAGACCGCTAGTCGGGGCATCCAAGTTAGGACACCCACCTCTGTTCTCTTTTCCTGCCCCAGAGGTGGTGGCTGCTTCCTGCCTTATCTCTGTGTTAAGTCAGAGTGTCCTTCACATGTCCCAAAATATTAACAGCTGTTTAGCCAACTCCCTCTAGTATTTTCTTTCTGTAAAAAAAAAGAAAATCGTGTGGTTTCTGTTTTTATGACTGGGCCCTGACAGACAGAGGATAGGGCTAGGCAAGAAGTAGTTAATGGGCTTCTAACTACTTTTAATAATGGGCTAGGCGAGAAGTTGTGACGGCACAGGTGTGATCCCGCGGGCCCAGATTACTGATTGAATGTGGGGGAGAGGAGAAGGAATCAAGGATGACTTTGAGGTGTTGAACCCAGTGAAGGAGAGAAGTAAGGGAAACAGTGGAGAGGCTAGGTGATGAGTTGGGTGGTCGGGGCCTGTTGTTTGAGGTACTTGTAAGGTACACAGTGGAAAAGTCAAGGAGGCAGCAGGAAAGAGCTCAGAGCCACCTGCACAGATGGATGGATGAGATCGTCACAGGAGAGAGGTGGAAACCTGAGATGAAAATCAAAGGGGAGTTTCCTTCCTGAAATGAAAACATCAATTCAAAAAAGAGACCAAAGGGTGACAATCCGTGAAAGGAGAAAGAAGTGTGAGAGCCCTGGCTGGGGGGCCGGGGGGCGGCGCACAGTTGGTTGGAAAGTTGTCCCATGCGCCGAAAGTTTGCAGGTTTGATTCCCAGTCAGGGCACACGCCTAGGTTTCAGGTGTGACCCCTGGTTGGGGTGCGAATAGAAGGCAATCAGTGTTTCTCACATCTATGTTTCTCTCCCTCTCTCTAAAATCAATAAAAAACCACATCCTCAGGAGAATGAGGAAAAGAGAGAATTAAAAAAGTGAGAATTAAAGAAAAGTGTGAGAGGAAAAGAGAGGAACTCGAGCTTATGGAATATGGATTTAAGAAACCTGAGAAGGAGGAAGAGAGGACTGGGAGGAGGTTGGGTAAGAGGATAATCAAGAGGGTACAGTGAGTGGGATTCAAGAAGAACTCATTTCAAAGAGGAAGCAGTCAGCGGTCAGGAGCGAAGGAGAGGTGAAAAAAACAATTGAAGGAAGACCGGAGGGCTTATGATTTAGGAGCTGGGGTGGGGTGGGGTGGAGGAAGGGAATCAGAAGCCAGGTGCTGAGATCTAAGGAGTAAGTGGACTCTAGTCTTGCGTACAGTTTGGCTCTGAAAGGAGAGGAGAAGGCTGTATCTTGAGGGTGAATAGAGAGGTTGTTTTTGTTCTGTTTTGAAGCTAAGACAAACCCAGTCATGCTATTCGGGGCCAGAGGAATGCGACCATTAGGCTCTCTTGCTGTGACTTTGTGTCTTTCCTCAAATATCTGTATGGTCACCTAGGAGATAACACAACTGAACCATTTTTACAAAATTTTGATGTACATGGACTGGATGGGCACCAAGCAGTGAGAAGTGGAATGTCTCAGACATAACACACCCCGTGTCTCAGGCGAGAGTTGGCCTAGGGAGTTGGTGCTGCGATACACATCCCCTAAATCTCGGTGGCTTCACACGACAGACGGAAGACGTGTTTCTCCTTTTGTGTCAGTCCATCTCGCTGTTAGCAGGTGTTCTTGCCTGCATGGACCCACGCTCCTGCCGGACCTGGTGGCCCCACCGTTACCTGGGGCCTCGGTGTCCCCCGGGCCTTCCACATTCACTGACGTGGAGGGAATGGAGACTCTCCCAGAGGTCCTGGAGGTCCGCCCTCCGTTGGCTAACTGAGTCCCGAGTCCCAGTCTGTGGCAGGGAGTGTGGGAGACATGGTGGAGCGGTTTGCCCGAGGCAGAGGGGAAACACGAAGACGGCTGGACCACATTAAGGTTCTTTCTTTGTTTTGTTTTTTCCTCCTCAAGCTCCTTCACTCCGCTAGATAACACACTTTTCTTTGAAATTCTTGCAGAATTTGCATTTAGTCCTGCCTGCACTCTCTTCCACTTCATTCCCTCAACAAAGGGTTGCTAAGTGCCTGCTATTTGCTGAGCACCGGGAAGGCAAGCGTGCCCCGTTGTAACAAGGAGGCAAGTGGGAATTCAAAATCTCAGTGCCGTGAGTGCTGTGTTCTCCACTGGCTGTGGGAACACAGGCGTGGGTTAATTCTCAGGCAGTTCAGCAAAGATTTTGTGGAGGAAATGCCATTTGACCTGTGACTTGAGTTCACCGGGCTAAGGTGCTGGGTGAGAGCATCTGGATGGAGGGGTTCCATCTTCCAGACATTTCCAGGCCAAAAGAATAGCAGTGGCAAAGCATGACGGCATAAGGGTACGTGGCGTATTTGGAAAGCTTCAAGTCTTTGAGTGTAGGTGGAGCTTATATGGAAGAGATTGTCTAAAACTCAGTTGAAGGGATAGTAAGTTCAAGTCCAATTCAGGAAGATCCTTCATGACATCCTGTTATGGGCTGTTATGTATCCCCCTAAATTTATATGTTGAAGTCCTCATTCCTAGGACCTCAGAATGTGACTGTGTGTGGAGATAGTGTCTTTACAGAAGTGATTAGGTTAGAATGAGGTCATTCGAGTGCTCCCTAACCCAACGTGACTGGTGTGCTTAGGAGAAAACACTATTTGGACACACAGACACACAGAGAAGACTACGGGAAGACACTGGGAGAAAGCAGTCAACCACATGCCACAGAGAGAGAGGCCTCAGAAGAAACCAGCTCTGCCGCCACCTTGACCTCAGACTTCTGGCTGCTGGAACTGTGAAAACGTAGTTTCTGTTGTGTGAGACACCCGATCCACGTACTTCATTATGGAAGCCCTAGCAGGCTAGTGTACAAACACGTGCCAAAGAATAAGAATGGAGGGGATGTGTCCTAGAGACAGCGTGGAGTCAGAGTCAGGGAGGCTCGGGGAGGGAGGCCAGCAGGGGGGAGGGAGAGGGCAAGGCCAAGGCTGACTGCAGGTTCCAGCTTCAGTCCCCTGGATGGACGGCAGCTGGTGGGTCTAGTCGCTGAACTGCGGTAGAGGGGGAGAAGGTGGCATCGTCCGGCAGTCCCATCCTCCATGCGCCTTCCCCCCGGGCTTTGTGAGCCTGGAAGCCTCCAGCACAGGGCACTTCTTTCCGAAGAGCCAGGGTTGTGTATTGCTTTCAAAGTCTGCAGGTTGAAGGGGACTCAATTTAGTTCATTCAGTTGATCCCTGGTATTAATTATTCAATTGACAATGATGGGATCTCTTATACCACTCTGATAAAAAGAAAAAAGTTAACAAGTTCACAAATTAAAAATACATTGCCCTATGCTTCCGCCCCCAGAGAATGTAGAATGTACACCCTCAGGCTGCAGTGGCCGAATCACCCCCCCCCCCCCACCCCCGTGCGAGTCTCTGGGGAAGTAAAGCTTATGTCTGCATTTTCCTTTTGAAAGTGGAAGGGGATACAGCCTTTGTTGGCTGTTCTTTTTCTCTCTGAACCAATCCGTTCAAGCCAATCCAAGAGAGAAAATGATCAGGTGTAGTAATTGCATTTGGAACATCAAAAAATAAATAACTAACAAAGCCGGCGCAGGGCCTTGACCATGACTGCCTGGAAGGCCCTGAGTAAATGCTCATTTGAAAGGCAGCGTGCTCAGGACTCGGAGCCTAGAAAAGCCCGTGGTTTAATGGAGTGCTTCATAGTTTTTAAACAGCAAATTTTCATTTGTTTTCCATTTACTTCAAATAATTCAGAATTGCATGGTGGCGGGGCGGGGGGGAAGCTGTGGTGTTTAAAGAGGAGGCCGGAGAACTTGCTGGGGAGGCAGAACAGACGTTTTTAATTGGCTGCCTTTCGTTTGCCAGCCTGGCAATTAGATGTAAGGGAAGTTTTCAGAAAATTGCTGAACCCTCCGGAATTGTTCCAGAATAAAAGGAAATCATCCTCATATCATTTACGACACGAGACAACGCCACACTTCAGTGCCTTTTCTGAGTTTCCACAAAATGTGTCACATTGCAAAGCCTGTGGTAGGACAAAAGGATTTGCTCTTCAGCAGTTTCGCTCGTTTTGATTTCCCTCCTTGAATTCGCTATCATGCCGTCTGTTTCCGCTGGGACCCCCGTTTTTCTGTCTGCTCAGCTGACAGATTCTGGAAGATTGCTTTCTTTTGTTTCTGCCTCCTCACTCCTCCCCCACGTGACACCAAAATGTCTTCTATTCTTCGCAGCTAGTTTTTCAAACTACGTCTCTATTTTTGAAAACTTCCCTCTGTGTGAAAGGAAAGATCCAGATGTGCAAGGTACCAATAAAGTGTTTATTGCCTCTCCCATCCCAGGTATCGTAAATAATAAGACACTTGTTACAGATTAAACTCTTAATAATTTTCTTCCAAAGTCTTCTTCTAACGTTGGGTTAGAAGGACTGTGATCACTTCCGAAGAGAAACACGGTCCAGCCACCAACGAGAGGATGCCCGGGCACAGGTGTCCGTTGGGGCAGGGTCACGTGGAAAACGTCTCAGGCTGGCGGAAGGTCTGAGAATGGGCGCACCGACCGTTCACTCTTTCTTCTCCGGCTGCTGTGTGAGGCCTCCAAAGCCAATGCCCGTGGGGCCAAAGTTCTTGGCGTAGCAAACTGGGACCGAAAACAGGAGAAGGGAGAGAGAATGGGTTGGTTAGCACCATTATTTCAGTCCCTTCTGTCTGGATCCAGTTCCTTCACCTTGAGAAGCATCCTTTTGATGAATGTATTTATAAGTTAATTTGTAAATAAACGGAGTACTTTACTTTAGCATAAAAATGGTTTACGGTCATACCTCGGTACTCCTCGGCTTCAAAATTTGTCAAGCCCTGTCCTGGGCACATTTTGAAGAGGAAAAAAATGTTTCAGCACTCGGCACTCTCTTGGGACCCATCGCACTGGCTAGAACTTGTGTGAGTCACTACGCTGTCTGTCCCGCAAGAGAAAATGTCTCTCATCATTTGGTACTCACTGGTTTGGCACTCGTCAGGAGTTCCGGAATGAATTAACAAGTACCGAGGTACCACTGGAGAGTTCTTTGCACCTCACGGTGTTCACAGACATTTTCTCATTCGAGTCGACATAACCTGGCTCCTGATTGCCTGCCCAGCCTCTCCCCCGACCACTTCCCGCCTCTCCAGGCACACAGCGGGATGCCCCAACTTCGGGCCTTTGCACTCGCTGCCTCCTGTTCCCGGAATGCCCCCTCCCCAACCCCCATTTGTCCTTGGAGGCCCAGGGGAAGCTTGTCCTCCAGGAAGTCTTCCCTAACACCCCAAGCTGATCACTTGCCTCTTCGTACACTACTGCATCCTGTATGGTCTGCCACCAGGGCCTTTTTCACTTGGGTACTCAATGACTGGTCTACCTGTTGATCTCCCTGCTGCTTACAGAAACATTTTAGGCGTTTATGGCCTCTCGGTGCTGAGGACACTCTTGTGTCTTCTACGGCCAGGAGAAGGCAACCACTGTGTCTCACTCATCACGGGAAAAGCTTTGGCAACCTGTAGTCTCGAGGAGTAATGTCCTCCCTCCCTCTGGCCCTCCTCAGTGTTCCTCTCACTCTGCCTGGAGATCTTGAGACACCACCATTGAGTGAGAGGGTGGGAGGGCCCTGCTGAGAAACAATAGGCCTGGGAGAGGCTCCGGGTTTGAGGATGCATCGCCTCTTTCCTTTTGTAGCATCAGGAGAGAGCTAAGGCTCTGTGACTTCTCCATGAGATGAGGGGACCGTGGAGGCAGGTAGGGGCAGGGCTGCGAGGACCAGAAGGAAAATCTACTTGTCGGTTCTATCTGTATTGGTACAAGGTGTGCAACATTAGCAACGGTAACATCAGGAAGAAAAGAGGGAGGGAGCAATGGAGGGAGAGAGGGAGGAAGGATATGCCTTGAATTAGAGGGGCCAGACTGAGTTCATCCTCTCCAATTACCCCCAGCTGCCCCTCAGGCAGACAGAGACCCTTTGGGTTTTCAGAATAAAATGTGATGCTGTTTGTCCAGGCCTGTGATCTCTTCCAGAAGCAGAAGCAGACACTGCTTTCTCCTCATCTTCTCTCCCCACGAGGCACCTAGCTGCCCGAACCACCGAGCATTTGCAAACATCGTCCCCTGACATGCTCCGATGGGGAAGCCCAGAGCTGGGTCAGGCAAGGAATTTCTTTTCCTAAGGTGGTTTTGCTCCCCATCCTGAGAGCCCAAACTGTGCTCAACTGAGCAGCCGTGCCTCCTGGCAGGCCCAGGCCTGTCCACACAGACACGGCTTCTCTTGAGGACCCTCCTCGGGAAACAGCGTCTCCAGAGAGTCTCCGAACCGCTCACCTTTGCAGTAGAGTTCCCCATCTTTGTCAGTGACGTTCGTGGACTCCAGACTCTTCCCACAGATGGCGCAGCGGAAACAGGTCTTGTGCCAAGGCTGAGGGGCACGGGAGAACAAGAACGTTACATGGTGTGGTGGGCAGCAGCAGGTTCTGTTTCCATGGTCACTGCCTTGCCCGGCCACATATAAAGGTGTGCTACTGGCTTAACAGTTCATGTACCTAATTGGCTCCCAGAATAATTTCTCCAGGGAGTTGAAGAAAATAAGATGCTGTGGACTTGGCCAGCAATTCTCAGAACCCCTAACAATAAACTATCTATGTGATTTCCACACGTGTTCCTTCAGAACAGACTACAAAACCAAGGAGTAAACTGGAGAGGGGAAGTTGGACTTGAGACAGTGGGTAACATGTTGAATATCAAGTTAAAGAAGGAAAAGAGTGAATGGGGCCGTGATGCAGGTAGCTCACCCTCATTTTAACTCTGTATTTTCGGTAGAAGAGGGTGCATGGCCGGGACCACCCAGAGGATCACCTGCCTCCCACACATCTGCCTGTCTACTGGGCACGGCTCAGGGGCTCCCATGTGTCCTGCGGCGGACGCCGCCCTTTATTTGAGGTCGGTCCCACTCGCCATGGCCCTCCGCCCCTTATTCAATATAAGCAGGATTTTTTTTTTCTTTTTGTCGGGCCCACATCCTGTGGTGAATACCCTGGCTTCAGGCTGGAAACGGGAGCTCGTGGGGCCCCTGCGCATGACTGTCGCAGACATTTGAGGACTCTCCCGACGGCCAGGACACTTGCAGCCACTTCTGGCTGCTGCGAGGTGTTTGCTGGGATGCCAGCAGCAGATTGAGTTGTGTAGTGTGACACCTTCCTGGAGGGCTCTCAGGGCCGACACCTTTCTGAAAGGACTGCGGGCTCTGAAGGGCAGGGCCTTGTGCATCTTTATCTCCAGGGCTTTTACTGGCTGCCTGATAGCTGGTGGGCTAATGCTGGTTGCTCAAATTCACCAGTTCTAGGTTCCAAGGGCTCCGAGGTGACAGTCACAGCCTGGGAAAGTGGGTGAGGATGGGCGGCCCCTAAAGTGGTCCTTTGGAGCTAAAGAGAATGAAGGCTCTGGCTCCCACCCCCAGTCCCCACTTCCTTCTCTCACCCCTCCCAGCCGATCTGGTGGAGATAGGCAACTCTGGTCTTACCTTGCCACCTCCCATCACCTTCTCCGCAGCATAGACTGACTTTCCACATCGAGGGCACTTCTCTGACTCTCCGAACTTGGCAGTGAACTTGGAAGGGTTGCTGGTGGTGGCTGAACGTGCTGTCTTCGGGGATCTGGGGGGAACAGACGAATGAATGAAACCTATAGACCTGATTCAGCAGAGAGTACTAGCTGTGTGACCTTAAGCAAGTTACCTAACTTCTCTGTGCCTCAGATGCCTCATTGGGAAAATGGGGATCATTATGGCACTGTCCTCCCAGAATTGTTGAGATGGTTAAAGGATGTGACATAAGTACAGCAGTGCCTGCCTGGCATGGGGTAAGGTGTAAACCCTCCCTTTCTACCCTAAAGCACTCATGTCCATGTGTGTTAGCTTGTATGACTGACATTGTGTTGCTGTGGTGGTGACGGGGTAGGTTTTTCTGCACCATGCGGTACTCCACTGGCCTGCTTCCTGGCACGAGCTGTGAAAGTGTTACAGGGCAAGATGGGATCTGGATAGCTGACACTAAACAGATCGTGAGCTGATGCATCCCTTCCCCCATGTGAGCCATGTCCAAGATGGAGGCACAGAAACAGCCCCCGTGTCTCCACATCTTTCAGTGTTTCCTTGTCCATTTACTGCTCAAGTCTCAGCATAACCTCTAGAGTAGGCAGGACTCGGAGGAAAGTGAGGGTGGGAGGCGCAGCTTCCCAAGGTCAAGCAGCTCATGACCAGTGGAGTCGGGATGAAACTGAGTTCTCCAGACTCGTGTCCGTCCGTGTGCAGCACCGTAAGAAAGCCCTAACGTAGGGGAGGGAGCTTCGGGCAATGCACGGCAGAGACTGCGGTTGGTATCATCTTCTTTAAACGGAGTATGCAGTTGGGATTGGGTCATGGGAAAAATTAAGATGGCTAATCACACATCCTTGCACTTTTCCTGGGCTCCTCTTTTTGGAGGGAGCAGATGACCCTTCAGACAGTCTAACTGCTCCGTGGGGCAGGCCCTCCCTGGGACACTGCCTCTGCTGGGCTGGGCCTTTCCGCCCAGTCCCACCACGGAGTGGAGCTGGACACCAGCTGGCCAGACAGCAGCTGCAGGTGAGTGGCTGTCAGTCTGTGATCAGTTCTGGGCTGGGGTCTGGCGTGATCATCAAGGCTGGTGGGACAGCCTGGTAGATGGAGGAGGCACAGCGCAATCTCCCAGCTTCCCTAGGATGGTGTTGGGGGAAACTTCGGCACTGCATTGGCAACAGGCATCCAGGGAGACCCACAGAACGGTTGTAATTGTTTACTCCTGACATACATCCACTCCATCCCCACAGAGCCACTTCCCCCATGGGCATGAGTCATCCTACAACCCAAGGGAAGAAAGCCTTTAGTGGCAAGCTCAAAGCAAACGGCCATTGCTTCCATGCCATATTTATGTGATTTACACAGAAGAGCTCAAAGGGAAGAGAAGAGGCTCCATGGAGTTTTGCAAAGGTCAGACAATGGAACATCTGTACTTTCTGCATTTGCTCTTGACATGCAGACCGAGGGCCATGGTGTAAAAGTAATTGCCCTTTAGAAAGGCAGATAATTTAAAGAGAGACTTTGGAGAGATGACACATTGTTAAAACTTGATCAGACTGAATATTCCTATTGTTGGCAGGTCAACAATAAGGTCCATTCTTTCACTTCCAGAAAACGTTGCTATGGGAACAGAACGGGCTGCCCTGATAACTGGGGCTGTGTGGGGCTGGGAGAAGTGGGGCAGTGACTCACTCTTGGAACTGGAGGCCCAGGTGTTCACCCGTGTCCGTGCTGAGGCAGCCGGCGCCTTGTCCGAATCCGATGCCCTTGGGGCCGTACCTGCGCCCATAGCAGACCTTACAGTAGATCTCCGACTCGTGAGCTGCGACCGTGGTGCTGTCCAGAGCCTTCCTGCAGGCCACTGCCAAAGAAAGGAAGGTCAGGAGGTTGGGGTTACATTCCTCCCCCTTCCCTGCCCCTCCAATACCGTGCTCAGGGCCAAGAGGCCCTCGGCCAAGAACACTACTTTGATTCCTGACCAGTGCATGCATCTTCCCTGGGCCGTAGATTCCAACGTGGTCCTCATGCCACAGATGAGGAAACCGGGACACAGGGAAGGGAAGTGATGCCGTGGTGCCCAGCTAGAAAGGGGTGGAACCGGATGGAGCCAGGTACGTGGTCTCGGACCAGCTAAGAATACTGTCTCTGAATCGGAAGAGCCTGAATTCCAGTGTGACTCACCCTAAATGATATCAAGGAAGTGTGTGTGTGTGTGTGTGTGTGTGTGTGTGTGTGTGTAGGGCAAGGAGCTAAGGCAGGAGACAAATGTATTTTTTTTATAATCATGTCCGAATGAAGATTGAGCAGTTTCTGTACTTATCATGACCTTTGAAGGACACTGCGCTGTTCAAGGAGACAGTTATCACTGAGGCTTCTTTTGATCATGTTCTGGAAGTCAGGAGGTGGTGAGGAGGGTAGACCTGCCTCAGAGACCCTTCGGCTTCCATTGGCTCAGTTCCCCCGTCACCATATGCTACCTCGTAGTGTAAACTGTGTAAGACCAGCCCTCATTTTTCCAAAGAGAAGATTTATGGCAAGAGTTATTTTGCCAATTTAAGAGAAATACTTTTAAGGATGTAAATGACAGTGTCAAATCCCTATGTATAGTATTAGTAATTTAATAATATAAATCACGTATTAAATTGGAGGTGTTCATTTTTCTAATCCCACACAAATTCAGGAAATGGTTGTATCCGAATCTGCATCTGCAGCGTCACCGGTGTCTTTCCGAGACAGCTGGCCCAGCCCCAGAGCAGCCCATCGCCCCTTGTCGCAGCCTGTTGGCACCTGAGCAGGGAGCGGTCACCTGGAAATTGTGTCTCAACCAGAAGTCCCTATTAATGTAATATTAGGGCAGCTTTGAAAGAACATGTAGGATTTCCACAGCGTGATAACTTTTCTGAATTGCTTGGCAACAATAATCCGCGAAGGTTGCTCATGGCGGTGCTCAGTGCTCATTATAGCGAGGTCACAGCCTGGGGAATGAGAATACATGTGCATTCATTTTATTTGCTTCCCTTTTTAAATTTTAACCGGTTCCATCAAGTGACCTCTATAAGCAAGTCAGCATTGAATGAATTTGTTTCGGGCTCATATGCCTTCCTCAAACGGTATTTTAGTTTAAAAAAGAAAGGAATTGGATGTGAGAGTGGGAGTAGACTCTAAGGATGTATGCGAGGACTGGCCACAGGCTGGCGGCTGCATGGTGGGGGAACCAGTGTGCGGAACCTCACGAAACGATTCTGTCAATGTTACCTGTATTAGACATTCTGTAAAAATGTTTAAAAAAATAAATGAATAATAAAGTAATTGAGAAACTGTCTTATAGCATGGGAGACTTTATAAGGCCTTGAAAACAAGGGAAACCCTTTTCACGAGGAGTAATTTTGGGAGGGGAGCAGTAGAAACTTATCTCTGCCCTTCTTGTTGCTCTCAGGTGCCGATCTTCAGAACAACCTTTCAAATACGTGTTGATGTTCTAGAGTCTGAGTTCCTTAAGGGCAAGATTTTTACCTTACTATCCTCAGAACAGTGTGGAGTCTGGCCCTGAATTAGTCCCCTGTAAACATTTGTCGGATGAACGGACGGATGAACAGATGGGTGGATGGATGGATGGATGTGCGCATGCACGTGTGAATGAAGACCAGTGACTTGTCCACAATTATACAACAGGACCCTGCGGAGCCACGACTGGCTCAGAGCCTTCGGCTCCGACTCTGGTGGTCATTCCCGCCACTCCAGGGCTACCTATGCCCCGTCGCGCCCTGGCCAAGTCGACAGCCCCTGCCAGGCCCTGACCAGCTCCCAGGCGCAGGCTCAGTAGAGCTGTGCTGCCCAGTGCTGACCACTCTCGCCTGCCACAGGAAGTTCACAAGATGCACTTCCTTTTCAAGCACTCGACACAAACGAAATAGGAATATACAATATTTTGTTAATAATTTATGTATTGATAATATACTAAAATTATACTTTTTATATGTTAGGTTAAGTAAAATGTTTTAAAATTAATTTCACCTGTTTCTTTGTACTTTTTAAAAATATGGTTACTGGAAAACTTAAATTTGCATGTGTGGCTTGCAAACATTATGTTTCTTTTGGATGTGCTGGTGAGAAGGATTAAGATCTGTCTAGAAGTTAGGCAAACGTGTTGGGGGGACAGGCTTAGGTAGGCTGTGCCTCTCTGAACCCCATCTCCGGCAATTACAGGGCCGCCTGCGGATAGGCAAGTCTTGCGATGATAATAGAAAAAGTGTGTTTCTCTCTAGGATCTTTCTGTCTACCCCATTTGAGAAACTGGTACTGCTCACATCCCCACCCCACTTACGAGCTCTAAGGAAACATTAGAGGGTTAAAGCAGTGTGCCACCCAATGCCCAAACCCCTTCTGCCCTGGCTCCGTCATCCTGCGGACGGGGGAGGACAGGATGCCCCTTACCATGGACAGCTTCACTACCGTTTTCTGTTCCCATTCAGGCATCAAAGTTGATCAAAGGAAAATAAAGGCCTAGAGGGCTGGATTTCCATATCAAGAGCTCCAGTCTTCTTTTTGTAACCACCTGTGTGGTAGGTATAACCCACTTGGCATTTTACAGGTGAGGGAGTGGAGGCGAGACGGAGAAATGACCTGCCTAAGGTCTCACAGTCTATGGCAGAGCAGAGACGCAAACCCTGACATTTTTACTCTGATTCTAGGGTTCTTGCCAATATCCCTCACCCCGCCCACCCCTCACCCCCCTGCTTTATAAAGAACACTGGCTGTTTTTAGACAAAAGCCGGAGGGTTGTGGGATAAACTGTCTTCAGCAATAACTTCTGGATGGACAGCTGTAATAATAATAATGAATCAGATGGATGTGTCCAGTGCCTTAAAAACAAATACGCATTATTAAAACCCAAAGCATTAGTAAATCTGCCACCCCAATCACTCAGAACAATATTTTCCCCTGTTCTTCGATGATATTTATGTTTGCTGTAGGGGATAAGCCTGCAGCAGATAAACTGTTACTGTTTCTGGCAGCTTAAGGATGGAGAGTCTCCTGCCCTAACACATGGAGCCCAGCCCTTGAAGTTCCATCTGAAACCGTTCGGGCCAGTGTGAAGCCTAGTGGTCACTGGGCTGAGGCATGGAGGTGGGGTGGGGGATTCTGGGGAGGGGCTCTGCCAAGCATCCAGTAAAGCTAACCCCTGAGCCAGATCTACTGGAGGGAAGCAAAGAAGGTGAGTGGCCAAAGAAACAGGGCTGGCTACTAAGAAATTCCAGAATGCACTCATGTCAAAGAGTCTAGACTGGAAGTCTGAAGAAATAGATGCTATTCCTGGCTCAGCTACAGGTGCTTGGGACCTGGGCTCAGAGATGAGAAACAACTCGCCCAAAGTCGCACAAGGTGGGCAGAGCCGGACTCCCGGGTGAACCACAGCATCTTCAAATTGCCCTCATTTTAACATTTGTGCGGCTCTGCCTGGCAGGTGATGGGAAACATTCCCTTTGTCAAATGACTGGTGCCCAGGCCCTGAACCTCTTCATTTTCTGACTCTTAAACAGAACTGGCACGCATTTCTCTGTCTGATACAGGTTCTTTCTTTAGAAAAGCCTGTTGCAGCTGACTTCAGTGACAGCTGGCCAGTGCAAAAGACACCAAGAGCCAAATCCATCCTGGTTCCAGATAAGTAATGGTGTCTTTCTCCGCCAAGTCACACTTTGTAAATGTTGCCTCCGGGTTCAAGTTTTCACCACCGAGAGCGGTGGCGGGCCAGCTCGTTCTGATGTTGAGCTGCAGGGAAATGGCCTCTGAGCTGGGCAAGTGGTTGGAGAGCGAGTGCTCAGAAGAGCACCCTCCCTTGCTCAGGGGGGACCCACCCATTCCCAGGGGATGCTGATGCTGCTGGTCCCGGGACCATGCTCGGAGGACCACTGACAGAGAGGCATCTGTGGCTAAGGGTGAGCCTTGAAATGCCCTCTGGATGCCAAGGGGCCTTCGTGGTGTTCACCCAACTCACTGCAGTGGAAGCAGGTCTTGTGGAAACTCCTTCCATTGCATTGGATCTCTTCTGCATGGTAGACTGTCTTGTCGCAGGCTCCGCACTTTGCTCCTCCACCCCAGTTCGGCATCTTGAAGACTTCTGACAAAGGTCAAGTCTGATGGGATATAAAGCAAATACCGAAAGTTTAGGTGACCTCAGCAGTGAACCAATTACTGGTAGAGCAGTGGTCTGAAGAGCTGGATCCTGCCCCAGCTTGTTTGGTCATTCATTCATTCATTCATCCATCCATCCATCCATTCATCCATCCATTCATCCATCCATCCATCCATCCATCCATCCATCCATCCATTCATCTATCCATCCATCCATCCATTCATCCATTCATTCATTCATTCAGCAAATACTATGTGCAAGTTGCAAGGCATTGAATAAGGCTCTGAGCAAGTCACTTTACTACTTGGGGACTCAGTTTCCTCTTCTGTTAAATTTCAAAAACACCTTCCCCTCTGAACCCCACAGGGTTCTTGGAAGGGGTGGATGAGCTTATTTTGTGCATATAAAATTATATACAAATACTAAGTATTACTATTTTTCCATCTAAGGTTTTTTTTTAATATTTATTTATTTTTAGAGAGGGAAGGGAGGGAGATAGAGAGAGAGAGAGAAACATCAATGTGCAGTTGCTGGGGGTCATGGCTTGCAACCCAGGCATGTACCCTGACTGGGAATCGAACCTGTGACACTTTGGTTCACAGCCTGCACTCAATGCACTGAGCTATGCCAGCCAGGGCTCCATCTAAGGGTTTAAATATCATTCCATCAGAGTGGCAATAACCTATTGAAATGGTCTTATCTTCTTATCTAGTTCAGTGCTTCTAGATGCACCTTGAATTTTGCTGATAACATGCGGATTCTGGTTCGGTAGATCTGCAGAGAGGCAGGAAGTTCTGAATTTCTAACAGACTCCAGGCAGTGCAAATGCTACTAGTAGTGGATCACCCTTTGGGTAGCAAAGCCTTAGCTAATTTTGCTGATAGAAATATATAGTATATAAAATATCCAACTCAGATTTCTTCCTTCTATTCATAATTTCCTTTTTAAAACATATTATTTCTCAGGCAATAGGCTGTCTTGGCACTACTCTAGATCAGCGATCTGGAAACCTGCCTTCTGCTTTTGGGGCTACCCACAGCTTGCTGTGTGCATTGAGATGAACTGTGGGGCTTCTCTTACTTCTGCCTTCCCAGCTATACTATAAAGAGAGTCACTCTTTCCTTGCTGCTTCACGGGGCTCTTTAGGGGACCACAGGACGTGAGGTGCAGGAAGGTCCTAGACAGAGCTCGCAGTGCCAGGTGTGATCACAGGAGCCAGGTGATGAAGCCCTGTGTCTCCCCACACCTCGGAGCACATGCTGCTGCCAGGAGCTGCTGATGCCCACAGCCCCGGCCCATCACTGTCTGCTCACTGGAGAGTCAAGTTCAAGAGATACTAGACAAGAGGGAGCAACACAAATGTTTTCTCTTTCTTCCTGTGCCTGTGTGTAAGTGCTGATCCAGTTTTCACCTTCCCCAGAGCAAAACTAAATCAAGTCAACAATACTCGGTGAAATTTCTGCATTCCCCCTCGCCCCGGGGGTGGGAGGGGGAAGGCAAAGTTCATTGGGATCCTCTGGTTTCTAAGAAGCCTGGTGTGTCGTGTTGTTATGGACACCAATACTATCAGGTCATTCCAAGCCGCTGCTTCTGACCTTCTTTTTCCCTTCTGGGAAGCAATTCACTTTCTTATAATAGTTGGCGATTACCATTAAGCCCTCCTGGGCACTGGCCAGGAATGTGTATCCCAGACTCACAACAAAGACAGTTTTTGCTAAGAAACAGAAGGTAAATAGCAAACAGACCCACTGAACCCGATACTGGGACCAAAGGGGACATCCCTATCTAAATGTCCCTGCAAGGGGCTTTTCCCACTTACAAAAACTGTGCGAGGTTAGCCGGGAATATCCTATCCTTCCTCTCATAGAAACAGGCTCTTTTAATTCTATAAAATTGTATAAAATAACTTTTTAAAAAGATTTTATTTATTTATTTTTAGAGAGAGGGGAAGGGAGAAAGAGAGAGAGAGGAACATCAATGTGTGGTTGCCTCTCTCACACCCCCTATTGGGGACCTGGCCTGCAACCAAGGCGTGTGCCTTGACTGGGAATCAAACCAGTGACCCTTTGATTTGCAGGCCGGTGCTCAATCCACTGAGCCACACCAGCCAGGACAAAAATAACTTTTTAAAAAGAAACATTTAGTGTTTCTGTTTGTGTAGTCAGGTTATTTACTATAGTGGAAACAAGTAATGGATTTTGAGTTGAAATCTTTGAGATCAAGTCTGCATTCATTCATTCATGAATTTATTCATTCACCATGCATTTACTACCTTACTATGTCAAGCACTGCACCAGGTACTGGTGAGGGATGAAGGGGAGGAAAACATAGAAATGAATGATTTGTGTCTTTTAGAATTGAAAAGCCCACACTCTACTGAGGAAGATAGGCAGGAACCAGAATGCTCTGCACCAGGGAAGAGTCTTGTGAGAAGTGCATGCAAACTCAAAGGAGGGAGTTTGCATTTACATTGCAAACCCACATTTACACTGGAGACGAAAGCAGTGAGTTGGAGGATCACAAAAGATGGCACGTCCAGATGGGGTGTTGAGGGGTGACTCAGAGTTCACCAGATAGAGAAAAGTGGGAGGAACACTTAGGCAGAGAAAATTTCCTACAGAAAGGCAGAAAGACCTTAATATCTCCTAAAGGAGCCAAAATTAATTTGTAGGACTTTTAGCATTGGAATAGATTCTGAAGATTGACCAACACCCTCATTTACAGACAAGGTGAGGCATAAGTAAGCATTTGGGAGTATTTTCTTAGCCAACTCCCTTTTCCAGGAGCCATCTTTCTCTGATTAAAAATGATGTGTTCTCCAGAAAAGAATAGAATCACATAATTCTACTTGTGTTCATTTTGATCCAGAGTTTCAACATAATATAAAATAGAGGAGAAATGTAATATATACCCAAGAATGTGACAGTGACACTTGTGAGATTAATGACGTGGAAATTTTCACGAAAACAACCCTGGGTCAAATTTCTCATTTCAGATCTCCAGTGGAGATTTCGTGGGCATGTCCCACAAGTTAGTAGGAGAGAGACATACCTCTTAGGGGTGTGTATATTCAGCAGCTGCCTACACACAATATTTTTCATTGTGAGGATAAGATTGTAGATAATAACTTCTTCACAAAGTAACATATGCTAGCACGGGTTTTTAGAAATGATCATAAATACCTGACACATATAAATCAAGACTTGAAATCCAAAATAGAAATCCATGAACATTCTATTAAACAGGAGTTCAGTCCCATTTCTAAAGATGGATTTGTAGCTCTGGAGGCCAAACACAAAAGATAGCTATGATTTTTTTTCTTCCAATGCTCAAAAGCCAAAAGGAGAAGGGTGTTGCAAAGCACCCTGAATTGGAAGACACAGGTTCTAATCTTGACCTTGTGACCTTGAATGTGGGTAAAAAATAGCGACAATACAATCGACTGCACTTTCCTCACAGGACCATTGTGAAAGTCATGGAAATATGATGGAAGTTAAAGCAGTACGGTAGCCCCCACTTATCTGCTGGGGATGTGTTCTAAGACTCTCAGAGGAAGCCTGAGACCACTTGTAGTAGTGAACCCTATACACACAGTTTCACTTAGAGGAAGCATTGCATGGCTGTACATCCACACAAGGAAGCACTTTACAGCTTCTCTCTGGCGTATCTGATTTGTCAGCATCACTACTCTTGCTCTTCGGGGCCTTTATCATGTAAAAATGAGGATGACTTGAACACAAGCACTGGGACACCACAACAGTTGATCTGAAAACCAACTCAGCTGCTAGGTGGGTAGCTGGCGGGGAGTGGGGGACATATACCGTGTGAATACAAGATTCACGTCCTGGGTGAGACAGAACTCGAGATTTCAGCATACTACTCAGAGCTGTGCGATTTTATTGCACTACTCAGAATGACATGCAATTTAAAACACACGAATTGTTTACTTCTGGAACTTTCCATTTAATATTTTTGGACCAAGGCTGACTGCCCCTAACCAAAACCATGGAAAATAGAACCATGGGTAAGGACACTTTTATTGAGAAGCTTTTTAAAGGCAAGGCATTATTACCTCCTTTATATCAGGGTATTCGAATAGAACCATATTGCTCAGTAAGTTGCTATGATTTGAGAGCACATTTAGGCCTTGGCTTACATGCATAACCTTTTTAGCCTCCTGCATTGCTTCGGAATTCCTTTGCCTCAACACTCCCCTAGCCAGACCCACACTGTGAGCTTACCCTGGCGAGATACCAAGGGATGGACCATTTGTTTATCAGTGTTGCCTGGCACTGGGGAGGACTGTTGAAGGTGGGATGCCAAATATAGGCTTGCCTGTCACTCAGCCCCATTTGTCCCCTGGGTCACAATCTCCATCACATTTTCTGGGCCAGTTTGGGAGATGGGTGCATTATCACAGATGGAGTCGGTGCTCAGGATTGAAATGCAGGACAGCCCAAGATTTATGAGGATGAGACCGAATGTAGGGCCCTGCTACATCAGCTAGGGGCAGGGTGGACTCCAGACTTCGGGATACCCAGGTCCCAGGGAGAGACAATGTGTGCGGGCTTCCTAACGAACAGCGCTGTGGAGGAGATGACACTGGGGGTGTGTTGCAATGGGGGATGGGAAAAGCACTGGGTGAAACGGAAAAGCGAGTCCCGGCTCTGTCTGGCCTCCCTGAAGCTGTATGATGTGGGCAGGTTCTTCAAGCTCTTTGAACTGCAGTATCCTCGCTAAAATGGGCATAATAGTCCCCTCTGTTTCACTATTGCTGGCAGGATTATAGCAATACAAACATGCATCTAACCACTTTGCAAACTGTAGAGTATTGTAAAATGTGAGTGCTCATCAGTTCTGCAATAATGCTGTTTTCATGCATCAGTGTGGATTTGTGAAAGAAAAACCAACTGTGTATCTTTGGCACATTCTTTCTGAGCCCAACACTTTGTTTTGTTTTCAAACTACCAGCTATGGTGCTGAACAGTGATCTGTGGGAAAAGTGGGTGGGGTGGATACGGTGGGTGCTGAGTGATTCTGTTTCTCCTTTGTCTGTTCAAGTACCTGGGTGGGAAACGTAGGCCCTGTGAGCAGAGTCCTCAAGTGAAAATGCCATTTTGAATTCAGTTGTGGTTCATTTAGTCATCCTATTAGATGCCGATAAATTGCCTACACTGGCTGATACAAAGATTTTGGATCATAGGAACTTATATCTGGAATCTAAGTTACTAACATAATAATATTATTGAAGCTGATGTGTGTCTGGAGACCAGCCCCTGGGCCGGATACTGTGTCATATCTCATTTAATCTGCACAGCAACCCTTCAAGGTAGGCGATGTTACAAAATTTACTTTAGAGATGGGGAAATGCGGTGGGAAATTATGTGGCCCAAGGTCACATGGCCAACTGAAACTCGGGCCTCTCTGAGCCCAAAGCTGTGTTCTTACCTTAACCACTACTTATTATTAACTGTGCATCAGTGGATTCATATAAAGTATCTTTGGTACCACAGCCCCGCAGAGCTAATTTTGTTATCCTCTTTGTGCAGATAAATAAAACCGAGACTCAGAGCTTAAGTGAGGTCTGAGGTCACACAGGCAGTAAATGACAGAGCTGCAATTCAAACCCCAGTTAAGCTGGTTCTGTGTCCCCTGTCCCTGCTTACAACATGCTCGAGAGGGAACAAGGCTCAGCTCCCACCGGTTGATGGGACCTGGGATATGATCAACGCATTATCTCTCCTTGGGACAGAGTAGTCGTGGGTGGGAGTAACAGGGAGACTAAATTCAATTCAGGAAAAGAAGGGACTTCCTAAGAGTCAGTGCTAGTCAAACAAGGAAAGGGCTGCTTTGGAGCTGAAGAGGTGTTCTCTCTCACTATGAGCATTACCTGGACTGGGATGGGCATCCGAGGGCTGCGGTGCAGTGAAGCCCCTTCAAGGGCCCTTCAAGCCCTGAGACAGATGGAGGGATCTGAAGAGTGACTGGAGCCTTACTTTGCAGAAGTGCCGCCCCATTGCATCCCCTCTCAAACACTGCCTTTCCTGTGTTTTCCTAGTCCGATGACGATGAGGAAGATGATGTTGCATAGTGGGAAAACGTGGGCTTTGGAAAGACCCAGGCCAGAGTTCAAAAAATCACTATCTGTTGGACCTTGGGCAAATTGCTTAAAATCTCTGAGCCTAGGGTCCTCAGGCATGTAAAGATAAAATGAGAATCCTTGTCTTAGAAGGCTGTTTTCAGGTTAAATAATAATAGCAAGATGCTATGCACGAATCCTTAATATATAGTAGGTATTTGATAATTTGTGTTGCATTATTATTATTATTGTTATTATTATATCTCTTGTTTTTAAATCAATTTTCTTAAAACGAGCAAGTTTCTTCTCGCTTCAGCTCCATGGCCCTTCTGGTTCAAACTCTGAACCAGTTTTGCTTCTCAGCCCTCAGAGTGCACTGCACGCAGGAACAGACACAGCCAGGCCGGGGAAGAGTCAGCCCCCTTGGGGGGCCCAGAGCGCCTGGTGCCAGAGACGGCATGTCAGGCAAAGTCCTAAGCCTGTGCCCTGGGACAGCCGCTTTCTGGCTTTGGCAGCTCTGGTGCCTAATACCAGCTGACCTCCCTGGTGACCTGCGCTTTGAAGGGAAGCAGCGAACTCAGACAGAATCCCTCCCTGTGGCCCAGGGAGACAGTGCCCTTCAGCTCGCATGCATGGGACACTCAAGGTCAATAGCTCCCTCCTAAGCTTCTGAACAGAGAGATACATGAAGTCCCCTGTGAAGAGGCCCTTTCACAAAGCCTGGGGAGCATAGGCCACTTGTTGCCAGCACAGAAATAAACCCGAGTGTTGGCTGGCGTCCCTTTAAAACTTAGACACGAAAGACATGCCTGCGCATCACACTTAGGCCACAACACGCGGGTCATATTACATCTTTTCTGAAATTGTCTCTGAAGTGCGGCCAACGTTTACTCTCAGAAATTCACTTTGTTCTGTTTGGACCTTGGTGATTTGTTTTTAAAGACCACGTCGCACTGGCTCTGCCACTTTCTAGCCGTGTGACCCTGAGTGATTCCTGTGCTTCCTTGAACTTTTGTTTCTTCCTCTGAAGTTCTCGCAGGACTCTTGGTGACAGTTCAACAAGCTAATATTGTTCTGCGCGCACAGTAAACAGGGCAGTAAACAGCCAGTAAATCATGATCAACCCTTTCCCATGATGAGTCTCAGAAGACTCTTCCATCCTCCGTGGCCCTTAAGATAACTGTTTGCCTTCCTGCTTTCCTTCACTGCAGCGAGTAACTGTACTTTTTCATGGTGAAGGTATCGCATTTCTCTCTGGCCACGAGGCCCCAGCCTGCATGCAGTATTCCCAGAGGTCCGAGCGGCAGGCTTGTAGTTGGACACCTGCCTGCCTCGGGAGTTGTATTCCCTGTGGACTATATTCCTAGTCTGGGTCCTTCTGTAAACCAGATTCATTGTCTAGCTCCCGGTCAGCTCGCCGTTCACTCTGACCTCTGCACTTTTGTCATCACACGTGTGCCCAGCAGGACATCCTTCCGCGGCCCATCCGGTCTGGCCCTGTGCCTTTTCTCAAAGGCCTCACGAATCTGTGTAGCATTGTTAAGCTTCGCAAAGTGCTTTACTCTATACCCTCTCTCATTTGATTTTCACAAATCCCTTTGGGATGGGTGGCCTCACCTTCATTCTACTGCTCAGAAGATGGAAACTCAGAGAAGTGATGGTCAGGCTTGCCTCCCTTCTCTCTGATAACGGCGTGTGCGTGTGGGCTGCACCTGTCTGCCGGGGCTGGAAAGGACACCAAACCCTAGGAATCAGCTGTCCTCCCTGTCAACAGCCAAGTGCATTTAATCATGGAGTTGATCAGAAGGGAACCAAAGCCAAGCCAGAAGAGTCCTCACATTTTCTGGGTCATAAACCCATTTTACATACATTGTGATGTATTGGATGTACCCAAAACTGAGATTCAGCCCCAAAAGTAAACTGAGGACACAGACTTTACCTATTTCTCCACCCTTCCTGATGTTCATGCCCACCCTTCCCTGCATCAGTGCTTCTTCCATGTTCCCAGCCCCAGCACAGGACGAGGTCAGAACCAGCTCATTAGATTGCACTGAACTGTACCGCAGAGAGACAAGGCTTCTCCTGACTGGCTCACCAACTTCTCCCTCTTGGGGGAGTCGCTGCTCCAGCTCAGGAATGGAAACAGAACCTGGAGAGGGCGGCTTTGTTCTTTGGGTAGCATTTCCCCTCAGACCATCACTTAAAACCATTCACATTCTCAGTCACACTCATGCCTGTCATTCACTGGAATTTAACAGGAGCGGGGAGGGGGAGAGAGAGAGGAAAAGAAAGAAAACAGAAGGAAAGAAAGAAAAGAAAACATTCTTGACTGAAGCCCAGAGATGACACTGGGAATCAGCCCCTCACCCCTGGCTAGGAATTATCCTCCTACTAAGTAGAGCTTTTAATGGATTTTCAACATAGCAATGTCTTTTTCAGATACTGTTTTGGTTTAGTTAGAATGTTTAAAGGCAAGCCTGTTGACAAACATCCTTGGGATGTAAAATCTGTATTAACCCAAAAAGTGTCACTGTCTCCTCTGCGCGGGACGGGGTATGGTGAAGGATGGCAATCTTGGTCCTTCACCGGCACCTCCGGAACAGCACCGCTCCTTGTATTCTGCACACTGAAAAGCTGGCTTCTGCTGTGCTGTGTCTGTCACACCACTTTCTAAGTGTGCGGCACTTTACAGTTTAGAAAAATGTCACCACGTCCACGTCGGCCCTTAGGGAGGAAACCAAGGCCCCGAAGGCAGGAACTCCTCAAAGTCACACATCCATTCATTATGTGGTTCTGGGACCAGAATTCAGGGCTTTTGACCAGGACAATAGGAAACCCGATTCCACCATGAAAACAGTTTTAGACCAAAAATAATACCATACCCATTTCTCTAAGAAATGGGGTTCTCTAAGCCCCCAAATGTTAATTGCCCTTTTTAGGAATTTTCTAAACAGCTGTTAGATTCACACCAGAGTCCAATGTAACTGGAGTCTCCTCACACAGACCCAGAGTGGCTAGTGCTTGGGTCATCAAACACATCTTCACTCTATGGGACCTGTCACGGCCCCAACCAGCCACCAAACCAGCAGCCCACCTCCATCCCAAACACTTGTTTTGCTCCACTTACCTGCCTGTGAGGTCTCTGTCAGCTCAACTGAGTCAGGGGGGCTATCATCCTCTCTAAATATATGGAGGCCGTCGCCAGCCTTGGCCTGCAGAGGGAAGGGCGGGAGGGAGGCTGAGGGGAGAGGGGGAAGGAGACATGAGTAACACAACTGCTATCAGAGGCTGAAAATAGCCTGTGACCGAAGCCCTGAGTTTTGTTCCCCCCACGCCAGCTGTGGGGCCCTTGGAGAACAATATCTTTTGAGTTCTGTTTTGATTGCCAAGTGCCTATGGCACCAAGGGATCCATCTGTGGAGTAGACATTTTTGATTGAGTGGATGGATCAGGAATGAGAGCAAAGAAGGGTTTTATGTCTAAACTCATTTTTTTTCCAGGCTCCTACTGCCCTGACCTTTCTGGAAATCAAGGCGAGGTACCTGCAAATGAATCATGAGCCATATCTGGGAGCCCTCTTGAACTCCGAGGCACAGGTCAGTACACTCGTGAAGAGAACTCAGAGCTAAAAATAAGAGTGATGGGTGTCTGAAACGATACTTAGATAAGCTCTTCAAAGAAGCTTGGGGAAGAAAGGTCAGTAACCATCAAGTTCCCGTCACTCCATGGCCCACCATCCTAGGGAAAAAAGTTTTCTCTCAAAAATTTTCAATTACTGTGTTCATCATCTTTTTCTACTTAAGAATGTAACATGTCCGTGGATCATATTTATGCCCAGTCTTCATAAGTCTCTGTAAAACATTTTCTTTGGGGGTCTAATTCCTTTTTGCCTGGTATGCACACATTTTGACTTTGATCAAGCACCAAGGACTCGTGTGAATTATAGAATTTGATAGCTGACAACAAGTTCAGAGATTTAATACACTCATTCTTCATATTATGGCTGAGGTACCTGAGGCACCTAACAGGCTCAAGGCCAAGCAATGAGTCCCTGGCAGATTCCAGATGGAAATTCAGGTCATTTGTCTCTCAGGTGAAGGCACTTTCCACTAGTGTTAACCTGGATGTTCAGGTTAGATGCAGGTAGTACCTAATTGAGGGGTATATAAAATCCAGCCTTCAGAGCAGCCATATTAGCCCTTTAGTTACATGCCCCCCCACACAAACACACACACACAAATTGGTTGAGTGATAGAATGTTTCACTGTAAAAAAGATTGCATTAATTTCACAAATATGAACACAGCACAACCTACGAGATATCCTCGGTCTGTGTTTTCATGCGAAAGTCTATTCATCACAGAAATGGGGAAATGGTGAGTACTCCAGAATGTTAAATTTATAAGGGACTTTAGAAGTCTCCTAGAATAGCAGATTTCAAATTGGGTGGGATTTTTTAGAATGGTAATACTTTTTTCCATGGATAATATTCAATGGATCATGCATATACAAAGCAGGTAGAAGAGGGAGTTCCCTGCTTTAAATAAATAGGTGGTCTAGTGGTCCAACTCACATAGCCTTTCCCTGAACCCCCAAAGTGGCTTCTAAGTTACTTTTTGGGGACAATATTCAAAAGTCACAAATGTGTCCCACCACTTTTATTTTGCAGATATGCTGATATTAAGGTCCAAAGAAGGGATCTGACTTGCTTAAGGGGAAGATACAATGTATATAGCAGAATTATTTCTGGAGTCAGAAAATCTGGGTTTGACTATAATGTCTCTGACTCTTAAAAATGTTTTCTAATTCTACAACACAGGAATGCATTTTTATTTTGAAAGAATAAACAGTAAGGATGTATTTAGGGTAAAATGTAAAAGTTTCCACTCATAATCCTTCCTAGAGTTAATAACTGACAATATTTTGGGTTTTATTAAATTGAATCATCTTTTTAAAGGGGATTTTAGTGCATTCACATTTATTATGATTTTGGATACATAAGGAATTATTCCTTTCATCTAATTTTGTTCTATTTTATGTTTCTTTTCTCTTTTTTTAGCTTTTAACATTAGTCTTTATTGTGCCATGTTTTTCTCATATGAATTAGAAATGATTCTCTTCCTCTAATTTAAAAAGTAATGCTACAATAAATATATATTTTATTTACACCTAGATTTAATTGGTAGCTATATTCTGTTTCTCTCAGGGGATGAGAAACTTATAATAACCTCAGCACACTTTCACCATCACCACATTGCCCTCTTCCTTCACCTTGACCTTGGACTTACACACCTGCCCACCACCCCCATGTGCAGATCATCTGGGATTTTAGTTTCAGGTTGTAGTTAATTTTGTCCATTATGCATCAGTGGTTATTTGAACTGCTTTCTTCTTCCAACTGCTGTTCCTTGTATATTTTTGTATTTTACATTTTAAATTTTCTGAAAGAGAGAGAGACAGAGAAAGAGAGAGAGAGAATGCATTTTTGATGAATTTACCAAAAGAGTCTGCTTGCTGTAAATGAACTTTCTCACATAATTCAAAAGGTCTTTCTATTCGTTTGCCAGAACTGCTGTAACAGACACCAGACACTAGGTGGCTTAAACAACAAAGATTTGTTTTCTCACAATTCTGGAAGCTGGAAGTCCAAGATCAAGGTGTCGGCAGAGCTGGTTTTTCCTGAGGCCTCTCTCCTTGGCTTGTAAATGGCCATATGCTCCACGTGTTATCAGAAGGTCTTTCCCCGTGTGTGTCTGTGTCCTAGTCACCTCTTCTTATAAGGACACCAGTCACGTTGAATTGTGGCCCACTCACTTGACCTCAGTTTACTTTGAAAGGAATATCTCCAAGCACGGTCACATTCTGAGGAACTGGGGGTTAGGACTTCAATATATGAGTTTGGGGGAGACACAATTCAGCCCGCAACAGTCTTCGTTTTGCCTTACACTTGAGTGCTGGTTCTGTTATCTCTAGAGTTCTGGCCAGTATGGCAGCTAGTAGTCACTGTAACTACTCATAGTAGAACTATTTACAATGGAATAAAATTAAAGATTCAGTTCCTCAATCACAGTAGCCATATTCCAGCTTCTTAACATCCACCCTTGGCTGGTGCCCACACCTCAAATAGCATGGATGTAGTTAGTGTGTTTCCATCATCCCAGATGTCCTCCTGGACAGTACTGCTCTGGGTCCTCTTCATCCGAAAAATGAAGCCCATCCCTTTTGGATTCTATGAAGAATAGATAATACTGGGCATGTGTTAGGTACCCAGCAGGGTGCTCAATCCATGTTGCTGAATGTCGACTCAGTGGTAAGTGAATGGTAATATTGAACTAGAACCCACACTTCCTGTCCCATTGTTCCCCCAGAACAACCACCAGTGAGTGAGCTGTGGAGAAATGCAGAACACGAAGAAGATCAGGCAAGAGAGTGAGGGTGCACAAAGATGGCAATCTTAACCATATGCCTTACAACAGTACTTTCATCCCCAAATCAGAATAAGGGTTATTCTATTTAATCCTCATAAAAACTTTGTAAAGAAGTATTGTAATAGCCATTGTCTGAATGAGAAATAAAATAAATGCAGCTCAGGGAGGCTGAGTAACTTCTCCAGGGCCACACAGCGAGTCAACTGTGAGTCAATGACAGTGTTAGGCCTTGAATCCACTGCTTCCTCTTCATTCCCCTAAAATAACTAAAAACTGGTAAGTCATTTGGTAACACAGGTCACTAGGGTGACAGAAAATTTTAAACTGAGATCGAAGTCCAAACCCCTTCTACAACAGTGGTTCCCAAAATGGTTTGATCATGGCCCCCTAAGTAAACATTTTTGAGCAACATACATACATACACACATGTACACATGTGCATTTCCTCTATGTACATGTGTATGTTTATGTTATAAAATATATTTATAAATTATAAAAGCATATTTGTAAAGTATAAAAATTACTGTAGTATTACATACATTATGAAACATACTCAAAACCACATACCAAAAATATGAAAATCAATGTAATGAGAGTCCTCATTCACTTTCCCATACTCCAGTGTTGTTTCATGTGCTCCCTCAGGTGCCGGTCCCCTTGAACTCCGGACACCACCGCTGTAACCATGCCGTACACAGAAGGAATAGGCTGCAGATCTCAGAGGCCTGGAAACCGCAGTTTCCGTCTGCTCATCCAAACCTCTCTGAAAAGGAGCATGATTGGATCTTAATGTATTCAATACCAGCCACATTCCCTCAGCTAGGGCTTTTCAGTACTTCTCTGCACACCTCTCCAAAGTGTGACATTTGTCATTGATTCTATTTTAGAGACTTAATTTAAAACCGTCACTCAAAGGGAGCTCCTGGCCATGTATCCCAGCCATGAAAGACAAGGAACCGGGCAAAGCAACACTTCAGTGTATCAACATGGTTCCTTCTCCCAAGAGATAGAAATAAATAATGTCATCTTCACTGAAACAAAGTGAGACTTGCAGAAACAAATAGTTGATTTACTTGCATCATCCAGATTTTTTTATTGTTCTCCTTGTTTTTATGACTATGCGTCACTTGCTGACTACAGTGGTAACAGCGTAGTTCTTCACGTAGTGCTTTCAGCTTCCCAGCACTGCCATGTGTCTCCCTCTCGGGTGTGATTGCTTTCCTCTCTGTCCCTCTGTGTCTCTTTCTGTCTTTCTCTCAAGCAGCGGGAGGATATAGGTGTTTTTATCTCCTTCTTACAGATAAAGAACCTGACTTGAGAGGTTAGGTCACACAGCTAGGAAAAACTGAAGTCAGGACTTGAACCCGGGTCTCTGCTCCAGAGCTGATGCTCCCAGGGAGAAGCCAAGGATCTGGTCGGCGTTGTGCAGTTGGGAGAGAGGACCCTGTACACCCAGAATCACTGCGGGCCTGAGCACCTCCACGGCCAAAGTGCCCACTCCGTCTTGCACCGAGACATTGGCAGAGCTTCACGTCAGTGGTCCCATGGGTCCACTAGAGGCTGTTCCTACGTTTGTTACGCAGCCAGTGCAAAGCCTCCAGGAGAAGCCCAGAGGTGTACAAGCCCCTGACGTGTGTGCCGCCAGGCCAGCAAACTGACAAATGCAAATCAACTCACAGAGGTTCAGAAGTGGATCGGTGAGATTGTTTTCTTAGGAGATATTTCCATGGGTTGAGTAGAGTCCATGACTGTTCACCTGCATCAATAATAGATACTTCAGCAATTTTTGGAGTCCAGCCCTTGTCTTTAGCCCTGCTCCTCTTACTCCTCTGGTTCAAATG